AACAGGAGGATGTGCAAAACATTATTATTTGGATAGTCTGGCGTGGTTCCATTCCATTTCATAGAGCTGTTTGACGCTCAGCATAACCTTGTCGCACTGCCACTCCAACATCCAATCACAGGGCTTGATGACTAATCACGGGGTTTGTAAAGCAAGGTGGATGTTGTAGTCCCAAACGATAGCTGGGGATTCTGGGTAGTGTAGTGTCTTCGGAAACTGTAGTGTCTAAATTCCGAAAAAACGATTTGTTTCTCTGAATCGAAGGTTAAAAACACAAAAGTATTTACAATTTAAACCAATCAATATTGTGTAATTAACAAGGATAAACTGATGTTTTTTAGTGGATGAGTAACGCAGATATCACTGTGTAATAATTTGACAGTGAGGGGAATTTATCCGGTTTTATTATGAAAACTTCGAGACCGGAAAAACTGTTTTCACCCACGCTAACTTTACATGGAAGCTGCATACACGTTATCCTGGCGAGACCTCAAATCATCTTCGTAATATCTATCAAACTATAGATCTTACACATCGACTGGACGTGGATTCTAAGAGTACAATATACACTTCTCACCAGAAATCGAATCAAAAAGCATTTTAATGGCCAAACTATTCCACAATTTAGGATTTTCCAGAGAGGGTTATTTGTGAATAAACGTCCCTCCAGAGCGTTTGCAATGAACGGGCCGGGAGCATGTTGTTTCTTACACGACCACTAGAGCACCTCTAGTGGTCGAATAAGAAACAACATACACTTTAAAACGTGTCTCTGGGCCGTAATAAGGGCATGAACAATCGGCCTATTTGGTCGTTTTTTGTAGGAGGACAGGCTGTTATGATTCTTAACAACTAATGTCACATTTAAGGATGAAGATGTGTGTTATGCTGCACTGGAAATACGTCCGGCATCAAAGAGACCAAAGAGGACGACAACCCAGAGTTCTGACTTCAGCACCTATTCTGCCATCAACACTTCGAGGATGTAAAAACTTGCAAGACAGTTACTAAACAAGATCACAAACAAACCAAAATTGTATGCTATTTTTCCAGGATAAGTAGAGACCATTATGCCGCTTATCGTTCCCATTTAAAGCCGAGCAACAGTCAGCATTATCTATGACTGATGTGTATAAAAAGCTGTATGCATAAAGTAATTGTTTTGAAGGTGAAAGCAGTTATGTCTTTAGAAGTTGATACTAAACTATATTTCTAATTTCCTGAAACCACTTAAAAAAGTAAAAATAAAGAAAACCTTGAGACAGAAATCTTGTTTGTTGGTGTTGATTACAATTCAGCTTCAGATTCCCTCTTTTGATTGAAATCGATCCGTAACATTTCATAACGTCCAAGATGGCTGCTCGTGTGTAACAAACAAGTATTGCTGTTTTCAGGCAATTTCCTGTTTTTATCTCAAGTTACCCATCATTCCCAATCCTCCTCCAGTGAAGTCTGATACAAGTCCAAATATTTGTTAAGTTAGAGCTCATTCTTCTAAAGAGAATTAAATGTAATTTGTTAAAAGGATGCATAATTTAAAAGCCACAATGGCTACTGTTTGAATCAGGCAAGTTATTTAAGGATGGCCTATACCACAGTCTCCTAGAATAGCATGATAACAATGACAGCCAAGCCGACCTCAACCACATCACGTAGGTAACACCTGGTATTCAGTTAGTGTCGCAGGAAACTCACAGTGACAAACATCCCCTCATGCGACTATAGTTTCACTGCCCAAAGTACAATGTACAAGTTGAGAAGATTTAAACTATACTTAACAAAAGACACAAGCACAAACCACTGACAACAGGAAAGGTTCTAACAAAAGACAAATATTTTAATTCTTTTTTTTTTCTGGGTGACCAGTTTTTGCCCTTAATGCGGACCATATTGATCCACATTGACAATGCCTGGACTATAATCATTATGTTACCCCCCCCTCCCCCCCCCCCCCCACACACATTGTGTTGATGAAAGGCAGAGGCTATTTAAAGAAAGGCAGCTTCAGAAGAGCAGCATGTCAGATGGAGGCAATAATTAATGTTTACGTTTTATTCAAAGGTACCTGTAATTTTACACAAGAATCCCTAAACATGAAAAATAATTTTGAACTGCTGCTTTGAAGATTTTAAAATGTAAATGCGGTGATCAATTATTCCACTGGGCTGTCTTCGTCACAGCGAGTACAGAAGATAACTTTTCAAAAATGTGTGCTCACATGTGTGGTCACCAATATTTTCCATGGTTGCTTAGAAACAATGGGTGGCTCAACTTCCTAACAGTCTCAAATGACGTTACACTCCCCGACTGTTGTTGTTCTTGTTGTTTTTGCATCACTGAACCTGAAAAGGCTTTAAATGTATTAACTGTATAAATTGCTGGATTGAGAGAGACAGAGACACATATTTGGTGTATTTGGTAGCACTTAAAAAACGTACTCAAAGAGAGGGCTGGTGAATCTGTTTGTCACACCGGCTGAATGTGAAACTCTTCTGACCTCCAGTGGAGATGTGAAGTGATAAACCAAAAGAGCGCTGGATGAGGAAGACTCGGGCTGTCCTGAACAGCCTGAACCTGACACAATACGCCATCTTTTTAAACTGATTCACTAAAGCAGCTGGACCTTTACATCATAATAACAACAACACATTTCTCTTTAAAATAAGTTCCAATCAATCAAATGAAGACAATAAAAACAGCATTACTATTATTATCTAATGTGAAATTGGCTAAAACTTATTTGATTTTCTATTAAATATTATTTATTTAATGACAGAGCCTTTAGCTTACCACAACAAAGAGTAACAATAATTATATATTCATTCAAATTATTTAGGACTGTTGACACTGTTTTTGGCATGAACCACACCAAAGTGTATTTACATTAATTTGGTGAAAAGCATATTTATACTGACTAAATAAAAATAGATGTGGGTTTTTTTCCTTCCACAATTACAAGTTACAATTGATCAGATGTGCACATTGATCTCCATTGTTGCTGTCAAATATGTGAGTGAAAACAGTTAAAGTTACATTAGCAGCTGCTCTAGTGCAGACTAGTGCTGACCTTGTGTATGTCATTGGGGATATAAACATCCATTCAGGTATTATACACACAGACAAGGTGTACGCACACACACACACACACACACACACACACACACACACACACACACAAAATGTCTTTCTTTTCCTCATACTGCCTGTCCTGCAGCACCTCTTTTCACCCTCTGTCTGAAACCAGGGCCCAGTCTGCTCTGATTGGTTAGCCGGCTGGCTCTGTTGTGATTGGTCAACCTCTTAGAAATGACCCACCCCTTAGCCTTACAGCCAGTCCACAGGCGGCGTGCGTTGAAGCTTCAACGTTTCTTCCCATTCACTTTGAATGGGGTGATGTCACACTTTGCCGAACTGCATTGTGGTTCCGTCGCTTCGCTTTGCTCGTGTTGCTCGCTTCAAAAGTTGAGAAAAGTTCAACTTTTGAAGGTTCAACGGAAGCGTGAGCCAATAAAATCATATGCCAGTACAAGCTCTAGCCAATCAAACCGCGTGCTTGTCTGTTCGGGGTGGGAGATTCATGTGATTGGTTGTTGGTCGAGTTTCAGACAAGCCCACCGGCAAGCTTCAACGCACGCCGTGTGGACGCTGCGTTACACGTCCAATGTGTTGGAGCGCTAGCAATAGAAGCGTGAGTACATAGTGATACAGTATGTTGCAAAAGTAAACAAAATAGTCCAATCGAGTGAATTGAGGTAAAGCCTCTAGCCACAGATTGTCATTGCAGATCTCAAATGGAACAATGTATTTGGTATTACAAAAAATTGACTGTTACATTTTGTTGTTAAATTAGTATTATTCGAGGTAAAATCAATATTGAATTATTTCTGAAGATCCCTGTTTAATATAATTGATTAGCGAAAAAGAAAAAATATTTTTACTGATGTCTAGAAAATATCTCCGTGTGTAAAACTGGCCCCCTCTACACTGGTTGTGATGATGATGGGATTATAGATGCTGAAGATTTGGATTTAGTGAAGAGTGGACTCCTGATGAGGACTTCAGCAATGGGGCGAAGCCTACGAGCTAGTTCAGGCAGTCAACTCGAGCACTTATGCTGCATTCATACATAACGCCCCTTGCCCCTCTACAACCAACCAAACAGAGTCTCCTTAATATGCCGCTCTATTTAACCTGCCTCTCTCTATGCATTGCTTGCTGCAGCTACTTCCACGTTGCTGCTGCTTGCCTGCCCCACCACCACCCCAGCTTCCACCTATAGGCTCGGGGGGTTAGTTATTTAATCATCACTCATCGTGCTATGTATACCTGTGGCTGTGAAGTGATGATGACCGAGCCTAGATGCCAAACTCAACTATATGCTACTCCTAATTAACATGTTAAAGAAACACGTGAGTTGTCTGACTGAAATACACTTATAATGATAGATGAGGGCAAGAGAAGAGAACTATAGTTTACATAAAATATAAAAATGTTTTTTTGAATTATTTCGAAGAGCCTCTAGTCTTTGGAAGAGCATTCCTTACATGATACTTATTTTTCTTCTAAATAAAGTCTTAAAAGAAGAGGATGTGGTTGAGGTTGAGTTTGATTAGCAATTACAAAATCAGTAAATGCTTTTATGATAGATTTTTGAATAGCCATACAATGTATTTGCTTTTGCTTTAGCTACTGTGCACTGTAAAGCCAAGCATTGATTCCATTTGAGGCACTACTGCATGTTTTTTCTATGCTGAAATCTTTGGTAACACCTCTGTTAGACGCTAGGGTTTATCTTATTGTGGCCCTATCTCATGTAGAGATCACATCAAAGCCAAGAATACCACATATATTTTGACCAATAGAAAACAAGAACAGAAAAAATGTTTCCACTTAAACCAACCAATCGCTACCTTTACTTCCTTTAATGGAAAATTCTGCGCAGGACGTGATATCTGTGAGAAAAACCTGGTTTGCTGTCTTTACCTCTTGGTCATCATCACACATGGACGGGCCGCACATTTTCATTTATGTTCTCTTAGGTAAATCTTTTGATCCAATTTTTATATTTCCATTTGTAAATTAATGTATTACATTAGCATTCTTGTTTGTTTGGTAGGACCCTGAAACTGCTGTAACTCAAAACACTTTTTACACTGAGCACTGTGTGATTGTTTTCCAGGAGTTGTATTCTTCAGTCATTGGACCTCTGGATCAGAGTTGGAGATGTCAGTCAGACCAGGAGAAAACATCACTCTCTATTGTGACTGCAATTCATCAACCGGAGTATACATCGTGTGGTACAGGAACTGCTCTCATGAGAACCAGCCTTCTCTTGTCCTTGATATAATTGCAAGGAAAAAAAACGTTAAGGATAACAACTATTCTCAGAATCCTCTACCTCGTTTCCACTTTGTGAAAAACTCTTCCTCTGAGTCTTATGACCTGCTGATCATTAACATCACTGAGACCGATGAAGGGCTCTACTACTGTGGAACTGAAACGTTGAAGGTGGAGAAAAAAGAACAAATTACTTCCGCACAGATTTACACACATGGAAACATCTCAACAAGGATCCATGTCAGTAAGTATGCTGTTCTTGTTTTTGTGCCTGCAAGACCTATGTCCGACTGCAGTGAATGTAATCAATTGGCTTAATGATTATTATACCATACTGAAATAGTGTACAACAAAAATTCAAATCATTATTTTCTTCTTACTTTGGCCACACATTTTATCCATATGTATTTCTTCTTTGCATGGTAAGCTTTGGGATAATTCTACATTTCAAATAAGATAGACAGGCTCAAGCTAAATGAAAGGTTGGACATTACATTTTCTGGAATAAGCTGAAAACTGATAAACCAGACACATTGGTCAAATAAGAATGGCTATTTCTTTAAAATGCAACTCTGCAATTAAAATTAAAATATATATCTTTCTGTTCAATGAAAACTTGAATTCTAATGAATTTAATTCAATTAAAACAGTGATTTTAGTTTAGAAAATGTTATGGTTCTTAGATCCAGGCTTTCAATGAGTTTAACTGACTTGTGTCGAGTTTGTTAAAACAACTAAAATGTTGTATTCATTGTTTTAATTAAGCGAATCAACTGACTTATTTTTGTTTAAGACTCCAGTGAGCATCATCCCCAGGAAAGTAAGTTAACGGGAGACTGTAGAGTGTGCTGGATGCTGCTGTTCTCTCTGTGTCCAGCTGTTGCTGCTCTGTCCTCTCTCCTCTCCTCTCTCCTGGTGTATCACCTTTGTAAGAAAGAAGGTAACTAATGTTTTTATTACTTCTAATGTTTAATTTGTAATGTCAGACTTATCAGTGATAATCAATGTATTCCCTTAATGTACAGTTTGAGTTTGTGTCATGCTATAATGATGATGTATTGATTTCCGCAGCTAAAGAACCTCAAACTGATCAGCAAACAGCTCAAACAAGACTAAATCAAGTAGGTGTAACAGCAAGATATAATTTATCATGACAATGAATCAGAACATGATCATTATTCTAAACAACTAATGTCACATTTAAGGATGAAGATGTGTGTTATGCTGCACTGGAAATACGTCCGGCATCAAAGAGACCAAAGAGGACGACAACCCAGAGTTCTGACTTCAGCACCTATTCTGCCATCAACACTTCGAGGATGTAAAGACTTGCAAGACAGTTACTAAACAAGATCACAAACAAACCAAAATTGTATTCTATTTTTCCAGGATAAGTAGAGACCATTATGCCGCTTATCGTTCCCATTTAAAGCTGAGCAACAGTCAGCATTATCTATGACTGATGTGTATAAAAAGCTGTATGCATAAAGTCATTGTTTTGAAGGTGAAAGCAGTTATGTCTTCAAAAGTTGATACTAAACTATATTTCTAATTCCCTGAAACCACTTAAAAAAGTAAAAATAAAGAAAACCTTGAGACAGAAATCTTGTTTGTTGGTGTTGATTACAATTCAGCTTCAGATTCCCTCTTTGATTGAAATCGATCCGTAACATTTCATAACGTCCAAGATGGCTGCTCGTGTGTAACAAACAAGTATTGCTGTTTTCAGGCAATTTCCTGTTTTTATCTCAAGTTACCCATCATTCCCATTCCTCCCCCAGTAAAGTCTGATACAAGTCCAAATATTTGTTAAGTTAGGGCTCATTCTTCTAAAGAGAATAAAATGTAATTTGTGAAAAGGATACATCATTTAAAAGCCACAATGGCTACTGTTTGAATCAGGCAAGTTATTTAAGGATGGCCTATACCACAGTCTCCTAGATAACATGACAGCAATGACAGCCAAGCCGACCTCAACCACATCATGTAGGTCACACCTTGTATTCAGTTAGTGTCGCAGGAAACTCACAGTGACAAACATCCCCTCATGCGACTATAGTTTCACTGCCCAAAGTACAATGTACAAGTTGAAGAATTAAAATATACTTAACAAAAGACACAAGCACAAACCACTGACAACAGGAAAGGTTCTAACTAAAAACATATATTTTAATTCTTTTTTTTTCTGGGTGACCAGTTTTTACCCTTAATGCGGAGCATATTGATCCACATTGACAATGCCTGGACTATAATCATTATGTTACCTGTCCATCACTTAAGTCAGGTTCTCAGAGAACCCCCCGCCCCCACATTGTGTCGATGAAAGGCAGAGGCTATTTAAAGAAAGGTAGCTTCAGAAGAGCAGCATGTCAGATGGATGCAATAATTAATGTCTACGTTTTATTAAAATGTGTCTGGAATTGTACACAAGAATCCCTAAACATGAAAAATAACTTTGAACTGCAAAATATTTAAAAATGTAAATGCAGTGATCAATTATTCCACTGGGCTGTCTTCGTCACAGCGAGTACAGCAGATAACTTTTCAAAAATGTGTGCTCACATGTGTGGTCACCAATATTTTCCATGGTTGCTTAGAAACAATGACTGGCTCAACTTCCTAACAGTCTCAAATGACGTTACACTCCCCGACTGTTGTTGTTCTTGTTTTTGCATCACTGAACCTGAAAAGGCTTTAAATGTATTAACTGTATACATTGCTGGATTGAGAGAGACAGAGACACATATTTGGTGTATTTGGTAGCACTTAAAAACCGGCTGAATGTGAAACTCTTCTGACCTCCAGTGGAGATGTGAAGTGATAAACTAAAAGAGCGCTGGGTTAGGAAGACACCAAGCTCTCCCGAACAGCCTGAACAAGAACAAAATTAAAACAGCTGGACCTTTACATCATAATTTCAATCAGGAGAGACGTGATGTATGAAATACATGTTTATTACCGGGACACATAATATGAAGGAATAGTGATTGACGGATTACAACAAGTGAATGGAATGATGTTTGGCGATTAGGCCCCGGTTTGCAGGATGATCATTCAGGAGGGGAAAACCGCTCCGATGAACCCCCCGGGGTCTAGACACTGGTGGTGGTGATAAGTAGTTCGGTCCGGTCTGAAGGGAGAAGGTTTTAGCTTGGCCCTGTATTAGGAGACAGGAGGCGAAGGGGTGGAGGAGGGTTGCGCGTTGACACCTGAAATGACAACTGGCGGAAAGGGAAGGGCAGATTTAAAGGGGTTAGTGGGTGCGATGATTGGCTAGCCGGGGAGTAACGCCCCTGATCACTTAATGAGAGAGGAGAGAGTATTGAAGTGACGTGTAACACCAGAGGATATTGGTCTTCCTGATTGAACTTGCGCTAAGCTACATTACTACAACACATTTCTCTTCAAAAGAGGTCCCAATCAATCAAATGAAATGAAGACAATAAAAACTCCTTTACTTTACATCTTATGTGACATTATCAAATACTTGAACTTGAAATATGTATTTAATGACAGAGCCTATGGCAGACCATAATAACGACAATAACAATAAATGCATAATCCACTTAACTATTTAGGACTGTTGACACTGTTAGTGGCATGGACCACACCAAAGTGTATTTAAATGAATTTGGTGAAAAAGCATATTGTATATTTATTATTTTCTTCATAATGGATGTCTGTTTTATTTTCTTCCACAATTTAAACTACAACTTAAACTTGATCAGATGTGCACATTGGACTCTATACAAAAAAACACCTGTTGTTATGGAGTGCATAGCCTGTGAGCTAGTTGAGGCAGTCAACTCGAGGTACAATGACACACACGTGTGACGTGCCTTAACCCCTCATACCACCAACCAAAAACATTCTCCTAAATCTGGTGCTCTATTTTACCTGCAATACATGCCATCTCTCCCTCTGCATCACCAATGCTGCTGCTGCACTGCTTCTGCACAACTGCTGCTTTTCTGCCCCAGCATCGATCTCTAGGCTCCGGGGGAAAATTATTTAACATTTCAAATGTGAGTGTCTGACTGAAATACAGTTTGGCTTCCGATTCACATTTTGACTGAATTCGACCTGTTACAATTCATAATGGATTTTATGATTATATCTCTCCAGATACAACATTTGTTTTCAGACAATGTCCTGTTCTACTGTATATCAAACTGCTATCAGCCCCCACATACCGTTCACCAGTGGTCTCAGACAATTCAAAATACACTTTACAGGAAACCCACATACATCCCCTCACACGCTCAGCATGCAGACAGACTGAAGCTGCAGACGAGTGGCCTGCTGAAGGTGTTGGTGGAATAGAGTTAATAAAGTTTTTCTTAAATGTGCAACACTTTGCTCACATGGTAGAAATTCCCACAAGCTTGAAAACAGTAGTCAGTGGTTTGGTTAGATGGTGATATTTATGTATATCTACAGTCAAGCTAAGCATCTGCAGCCACCTCAGCTACGTTTAGAAGTACAGGTCATATGAAATGATTAAAACATTTTTATTTCAAAGCCAACTTTTTGAAGTAAAATAATTAAATAAAATATATTGTTCTCTGTCCTTTGTCTTTGACTGATGGATGTGCCAACATAATATCTGCATTATTTTTTGTCTTAACATAATTGCTGTGAGAATGCTAAATGTTTAATGTAACATTTGACATATATTTTAAGGTATTTCTGTGCTTTCATCACAAACCGTGTTTTAGTCTAAATTCTATAATGAATGTGTTTTTTTATTTAGCTTGTTACACAATATAAAAACTTGTAAAAATATAAAATATGACATGTAAATAATGTTATTTTTGTACATGTGTTTTTTAGATATTTGTTATGTGTATGCCTTTAAAGGTCATCAACAGTAGCATAGTTTTCGAAGCATATATAACATTTAATTTCATGTACATAATGTTGTATGTGATTGCCAATTTCTTTTTTGAATATATTTGGCAAGATATTAATTTTGAACAATGAAATGAAATGCTTTGTATCTTATTGAGCTACCACTTACAAATATGTATGTATGTATGTATGTATGTATGTAAACTCAGTGTATCTGGAGTGGGGCAAATTGTGTCATCTGTCTGTCCCAGTTTTGTGAGGCCTCAATGTTGGTCAGCAGACGCATTTGAATAAAATATTTGAATGATGCAATAGTGTGAAGGTGGATTAATAATTGAGTAAATCAAGATTCATTTCCAAGAACTTGATTGAGGTAAAAGCCTCTAGCCACAGATTGTCATTGTAGATCTGAAATGGAACAATGGCACTACAAAAGATGGTTTATTACTTATTTTGTTAAATCAAATTATTGGAAATACAATCAATATTGAATTTATTTCTGAAGATCCCTGATTAATATACTTACGACTGAGGTTTAAAATATGTCTCAGTGTGTAAAACTGGCAACAGGCTGACATGAAAACAAAAAATAAGATGACACATTGTTATTTAGTTTTAAATAATTGTGGTCTTTACCACAGCCAACATAAATAAATCTGTCTTTAAGAACAGGATATCTTCTCATTCAGAAAAACCATGCCAGTGAGTCAAATGTTAGAGCAGTATAAACATGGCAAGCAAAACCATCTATTTGGAAACCCGTTGAACAGCATCACCTAAACAAGTAGGTAGTATTAAATATCAACTCCCTATATGATATCCTGATTATAACTTCAAACCCAAACACTGTCTATACATATAACCTTTAAACTTTTCACATAAACCCCCCAAAACAACTTTTGTGAGCTATTCAAAGTTGGTCCTTTAGACTTTGGAAGAGTTCTGCTTGCGATACGGCCACTTACATTTTTCTTCGGAATAAAGTCTTTATGGAAGAGGTTGGGTTTGTCAACATCTGTAAATGATTTTCAGATCATTACCCCCTGATCTACAGCAACCCCAAATGGCCATAAGATCCCTTAACATTGTCTTATTTGATGATTGTTAACTTCTCCACACTTCAGTTTGATGCTAAGGTTAATCCTTTTGTGGGCCTATATCTTATCTAGTGATCACATCAAAGCCAAGAATAGCACGTATATCTGGACCAACAGAAGACAAGAACTGAAAAAATGTTTCCACTCAACCCAACCAATCATTGCCTTAACTTCCCTTAACGGAAAAAGTCTGCGCAGGACGTGATATCTCTGAGTAAAACCTGTTTCACTTGTCTTTAACTCTTGGTCATCATCACACATGGACGGGCCACATATTTTCATTTTCATCCTCTTAGGTTTTTCTTTTGATACCATTTTTGGAATTAATTCATTATACTTCCATTTGGAATGATTCATTTTGATATGTTCATTTTATTTTAGAAGGAATCTGCCCATACCTTAATGTGAAAATACTGACTACATATGTTTGTTTTCCAGGAGTTGTATCCTTCAGTCATGACTGGACCTCTGGATCAGAGTTGGAGATGACAGTCAGACCAGGAGAAAACATCACTCTCTACTGTGACTGCAAGTTATCAACCGGAGTATACATCGTGTGGTACAGGAACTGCTCTCATGAGAACCAGCCTTCTCTTGTCCTTAAAAATGAATGGACACAAACCACAAACATTGAACGCGTACTTAATCCTCTCCCTCGTTTCCACTTTGCGAGAAACTATTCCTCCGAGTCCTATGACCTGCTGATCATTAACATCACGGAGACCGATGAAGGGCTCTACTACTGTGGAACTGAAACGTTTGATGTGGAGAGGGAAAAACAAATTATTCACAGAAATCTTTACACAAATGGCAACGTCTCAACAAGAATCCGATTAAGTAAGTGTGCTGTTCCAGTGTTGTACCTGCAAGATATATGTGTGAGTGAAGTGTATGGAATCAATTGACTTAATGTTCATGGTACAGAACTGAAATACTGTAAACATTGTTACAAATAATTTCCTTAATTCTGGGGCTACATGTTTCATCCATATGTATTTATTCTCTATTTTTGTGCATGGTGAGCTTTGGGATGATTCTACATTTCAGGCTCAAGCAATATTGATTCATACATTGCTTTTGCTGGAATTAGTTAAAAATAAGTACCATATAAGACAAGCACAAGTTTCATTTGAGGGTCATACTGCATTATAATTGTGAATTTGCTGAGGGCTGATTCAAAATGGCCCGGGGGCCAAATGTGGACACCCCTGGATTAAGCTAATCGACAAAACTTTTTGTTTTAGACTCCAGTGAGCCTGATCACAATGAGACTTCACAAAACTGCGGTGTAATGCAAGACTGCAATGGTGTGTGCTGGATGCTGCTGTTCTCTCTGTGTCCAGCTGTTGCTGCTCTGTCCTCCCTCCTCTCCTCTCTCCTGGTGTACCACCTCTGTAAGAAAGAAGGTAACTAATGTTTATCTTACTTTTAAAGTTTAACTTGTAATGTCAGACATATCTGTGATAATTCATTGACAATTATTCTCTTCTCTTGATACTGTGTGAGTGTACCATGCTGTAATTATGACGTATTGATTTCCGCAGCTAAAGAACTTCAAACTGATCAGCAAACACCTCAAAAAAGACTAAATCAGGTAGGTGAAACAGTAAAATATAATCATCATGACAATAAATCGGAAAATTATTATGATTCTAAACAACAATTGTAACATTTAAGGATGAAGATGTGTGTTATGCTGCACTGGAATTTCGCCCGGCGTCACATAGACCAAAGAGGACGACAACCCAGAGTTCTGACTTCAGCACCTATTCTGCCATCAACACTTCTAGGATTTAAAGAGTTTGAACAACAGCACAAAGCAGAATCTATGACTGATGTGTAAGAAAATGTGCATTAAATACATTTCAGTCAGAAAACTCACGTGTTTCTTTGATATGTTTATTAGAAGCAGCATATAGTTTGACTTTGACTTTGACTTTGTCTAGGCTCGGGCCTCATCACTCCACAGACTTACAGAGCACATTGAGTGATGATTAGATAACTATCCCCTGAGCCTACAGGTGGGTGCTGGGGTGGAAGCTGGGGTGGTGGAGGAGCAGTGTCCGGTGCCTTGCTCAAGGGCAGATCTGAGTTATATAGGTTTAGGACAGGGGTCGGCAACCCGCGGCTCTCGAGCCGCATGGCATGCGGCTCTTTAAGCCCTCTGCTCTGGCTCCCTTGAGTTTAGACATAAATAAGAAGGAAATTGAATAAACATATTTGTAGGACTATTTAAATGTTGTTGCATGGCTGAAAATGTTTCGTATCTTGTATTTTGAGGTGATACTGTGACACATAAATAAAAAACGGTTTTAATTAGGTCAACTAAAATATGCGTCACATCCTGCTACGGTCCCGCGCCAGTGCCTTTTCTTGCAGTCGAATAACCTGACCCCCGGCTCGATGAGCGAACTATGGATAAATAAAATAAAAGTATCGGAGAAACACAGGATTTAATTCTGCGTTGTTTTTTTCTTCAAATGTGCAGAGGACTCTCCAAGTGCTGTGTTTAATTTATTTTAAAGTAGGCCTGTGTATTATTTTTTTATTTTTTTATTCTCCTTATAAGAGTTCTTTGTACTAAATTTTATAATATAATAAATAATAAATGCAAAAAAACTGTAGTTTTTGTGTATGATAAATAAATACAACTTTATAAGCTATCAATTATGTTTTGCGGCTCCAGCTAAAACAAATTGTTGGAAAAGGGGGCAAAATGGCTCTTTTGGTCAAAAAGCTTGCAGACCCCTGGTTTAGGAGAACGTGTTTGGTTGGTTGTAAGAGGGACAAGGCACGTTTAAATGTATCATTGGTGCTTTAGTTGACTGCCTGAACTAGGTTGGAGGCTTCGCCCCATTTGTAGTAGTAGTTCATTTGTAAAGTTTATACGTTGCAAAGTTCTCTATAATTACTCTATTTCTAATTTCCTGACACCACTTAAAACATTCTAAAAGCTAGCAGCAGCATACAGTACAGTAAATCATAGTAGATAACAATAACTTTTGTGTAAGGGTTATTCAAATGTGTCTGTAATTGTTCAGAATGCTGATGGAGTAAGATGTGAAGTAATAAACCAAAAGAGGGCTGGATGAGGAAGACAACAAGCTGTCCCGAAGAGCCTGAACGAGACACAATGTACCATCTTGGTTTTGAACTGATTCCCTAAAGCAGCTGGAACTTTACATCATAATTACAATTACAATAACACATTTCCAAAATGAAAATAAAATTATAAAATCAGCATTACTTTACATCTAATGTGACATTAACAAAAACATACTACACCTACTGATATTTATTTAGTTTCCCATTAAATGATTTCCCTTTGGCAGACCATAACAATGGCAGTAACAATACATCCATAATACACCTAATTATTTAGGACTGTCGCAACTGTCTGAAATTGATTCATGAAAACATTTTATACTGGCTATATTCTGCCTTTATTATTTTATTTTTCACAAAATAGATGTGACTTTTCCCTTCCACAATTACAAGTTAAAATTGATCAGATGTGCTCTCCATTGTTGTTGTAAAATACGTGAGTGAAGCCTGCGACCTAGTTCAGGCCATCAACCTGAGCTACAATGATGCATGAACATGACGTGCCTGCACTCATACCACCAACCAAACACGTTCGCCTAAATCTGGTGCTCTTTTTAAGCTGCCAGACTTGCCATCTCTCTCTGCTCTACTTCTGCACCACTGCTACTTTTCTGCCCCAACATCCGCCTGTAGGCTCCGGCGATTCTGTTATTTAATAAGCACTCTTTTTAAAAATGTCTTGTAGAGTGATAACAGTGCCTAACTTTTGTATTATTTTGTAATAAGCATTTTAACTGTGAGTTGTTGTACAGTTCATCTTTCAGTCCACATCTTGATCGATCAGCTACATTCCATAATGGCGTTTATGATTCCATCTCTGCAACAAGACACATAAGCTGTTATCAGCCCCCACGTACCCTTCACCAGTGGTCTGAGACAATTCAAAGTAAGCTTTACAGGAAACCCACAGTGACAAACTTCCCCTCACATGCTCAGCCTGCAGACAGACTGAAGCTGCAGATAGTGACCTGCTAAAGGTGTTGGTGGAATTGAGTTTAAGTTTATTCTGAAAAGTGGTAGATTTTGTTCACATGATAAAAGTCTCCACAATCTTGAAGTCAGAGGTCAGTTTCTTAGATTTTGTTATTTATGTATAACTTCATCAACCTCAGCTATGTTTAGAAGTACAGTTTATTTTTGAATCTGTCATATCAGTGACCACATCATATAACTGTGTGAGATCAAATAAGACGAGCTCTGGTTGCACTGTGCAACAGGGCCATCGTTTGCAGACAGATGCAGAGTGTGGTTTCATACAACGTCATATTTAAGATATGATGTTTATCTGCATTGTTGAGTCTGAATAACATCTTGTGGCATTTTCGGATGGAAGATTTTTTGTTGCAAAATAGTATTTTCACTTAATTACCTTTGACTTATTCAAAGGTAACTCATAGTTATCAAGTCTTGATTTATCTTTATACACACCTACATTCCATTTAAATAATGAGGCTGGGAATATTGCAAAACAGGTTATGCTGGGGAAATCAGAGAAGGATGAGGGGATGCTGATTGTGAACTTTAGCCTCACCGGCTGCAGGTGAAACTTTTCTGACTTCTACTGGAGAAGGGTTAGGGCAGAAAAGAGAAGTTAAGTGTTATACTACATTAGCTGGGATATGCAAGTTGACCTAGATCCACCTTCCGGGCAGAGATCATCACAACCAATCTCAGGCCAGATTTGATCACTGCTCCCAGTATTAGGATGGGTAAAAAGCAGAGAACATAGTTCACTGTGTGTGCTGTGTGCTCTGCATGTGTGACCATTAAAGAGGGTTTCATCCCTCCAATTCTTTCTATCTATCATGTGGTCAACTTCACCAAAGTCCTTGTACATCGTTTAATTAACTGAACAATGGGAGGCTGCAGTCGATGAAGCTTTTAAAGTACTCGGTTATAGCAGCCGAGGCAGTACATCGGGGATGGAAAACGCAGGTTCTCCCAGCGGAGGACGACTGCAGAGGCTTTGTAGCCAGATAAACCACTAGGCTTCTTAAAAGCATGGGGGTTCGAGGGCAGGCACTCCGACAGGCCATCAAGTCACTGGGAGAAGCGGCTGACCAAAGTAGCAACTGGCTGTGGCTGAAAAGGAGAGATTCCATCTGGGCTGCAAAGTAACCAGCAGAAGGGGTCAAAGCAGTGTGGGGGGGCTCACCTGGGACGCCAGGTGAAACCGTTGAGCCCTCTGGAGGTGTTGTGGGCCTATCAACGAAACACTGAGGAAAGAGGGTGCCCACCTGATGACCCCAATGATGTTATTACCCCTTTATCTACTCAAGAACTCAAGAAGGTACCAATTATTATAAAGGACTTTAAGAAATCAAATCCTATGAGGTCAACAAAGTAGGGGCCGATCTGACCCATTTTAGCAAAAGCTGTCTTTTCAAGGGGCTTGTTAAATATATCTTAAAAAGTGTGTTTTCTGCTTCCTCATTGTTGGACGATGTTTGAAATTCAGAAATTCGCAAGTTGAAATCGACATCGTAGCGTTTAAAATCATCAGACTTTTGTATTTAGAGCAGAAAATTGAAACCTTACATACATATAATAATCACTCACAATCCAAACCTCAAATGGGTTTCGAACCCCCAACTCTATGTTTCCAGTTGGCCACTTTCACACTGGGCCGTCTCAAGCACTGGGAACTGATGAACATTTCAATTAACGTGGAATATTTAAGGTGCAACAACCGTAAACGCAAAAAAACCTCGTATTATAGTATGTGAGCAAGTGAATGTCATCAGCACATGCAGGAAGCTCAAACAGACATACAGACCTTCAAAGGACTGCAGAGCCTAGCATGCAGTCATACTGAAGATGTACACTAGTGGCCCGTTGAACTATAAAACCAAGCCGTTAGCTGAAATAGCATACAACCCTTTGTAATAAACAAAAGGTTTAGAAAACCACAGGCATGGTTAAATGAGTGAAGACATTAGCAGTTGTATATCTTACAGCAGTCAATAACTGTCTAACTCTCAGCTAAGCCAGCTCAAAACAAACTTGTAACACTGCACCAAACCTATACACATTGCTGGTTGGTATAGTATTTATATTGAAATATGAGCCTACATTTTTTTAAATTAATAACACGATCTGTGAGCCGATGATTTTGTGTGCTTTTATTCCTATTAGCTGTAGCCAAAGCAGCAGCTACAGTATGATGATTACTTTACTCTTTGACCAGGAGACATTATGGAAGGCGAGCGGAGTGTTTCCATAATAACAGAACAACAGTGGTAGCCAAGCAGATCACAGCTTATGTGCAAGGTCTCTGCACACTCTGGGCTACTCACTTAAGTTGTTTTTACGAATTCAACACTCCTGTATTGTACATATTGTTGAGGTCTGATGATGAAACATGTCCAAATTGTGAACTTTGCAGAATAAACAAAATAAAGTCTTGATTCCTGGTCTATTAAGTTAAAGGGGTTAATTGGGGATTCAACACATTTCTTAGAGCAGGATCTACTTAATATGATCCATTTGACGCGTTTATTCTATTTAAGCAGAGAGAACGCATAGGGATCCATGCCCTCTGTTAGAAGTTACAGTATAGTAACAAATGAGGCAGTCTTTTGTTAATGTACACACACAGTAAGAACATGCATTTGATCCTTTACTTTAGTCCTATTGGAGGATGTTCAACTTCTAGCAATTGTGCATCATTATGTCCAAGTCTATAACTATGAAATATTCAAATATACAGTGTAAGTCCTTTGTGTATGTTTTTTTAGGCTGTAATCTATCATGTAAATGGTTACATCTCAGTTAGGCGCTGAGGTTAATCCTTTTTTAGGCCTATATCTCCTCTAGTGATCACACAAAACCAATAGAAAACAAGATCAGAAAACATGTTCCACTCAACCTGCCAATCACCATCTATACTTCCTTTAACGGAAAAGTCTGCGTAGGACATGACACTGTTTCGCTTTGCTCTAACTCTTGGTCATCATCACACATGGACGGGCTGCACCTTTTCATTTATGTTCTCTTGGGTAATTATTTTTGATTTATTAATTATAAATCTATTTGGAAAGAATTGTTATTTACCTTCTCTTTATGTTTTTAGGAGGAGGAATCTGCCCCTGCTGTAATGTGAAACCCTGTTACACTGAGCCTATTGTGTTTGTTTTACAGGAGTTGTATCCTTCAGTCATGGCTGGACCTCTGGATCAGAGTTGGAGATGACAGTCAGACCAGGAGAAAACATCACTCTCTACTGTGACTGCAAGTTATCAATCGGAATATACATCGTGTGGTACAGGAACTGCTCTCATGAGAACCAGCCTTCTCTTGTCCTTGATATAAATGTATGGACAAAATCCTCTACCGATGATCACATAATGAATCCTCTCCCTCGTTTCCACTTTGTGAGAAACTTTTCCTCTGAGTCCTATGACCTGCTGATCATTAACATCACTGAGACCGATGAAGGGCTCTACTACTGTGGAACTGAACAGTTGAAGGTGGAGAAAGCAGAGCACATTACTCGCAGACATCTTTACAAATATAGCAACATCTCAACAAAGATCCAATTCAGTAAGTGTGCTGTTCTTGTTTTGTACATGCAAGATCTATGGCAGTGAATGTAATCAGAGTTATGAGTGCACTTATATCATTGATGATCTAAAAATAATATAAATTATTCCATTCAACAGCATACGTACAACCCATTTTGTACATGAAAGACATTTGCATCAACAAACCCACTTGAAGTGGAATAGTGTATACACTTTTTCAAAAACAATTCAAACCCATTTTGGGGCCACATGTATCTGAAGTTTTGTTAGTCACCCTTAAAGGGGAATTGAGGATTATCTATGCGGTTTTTTATGGTTAGGTTGGTAGAAATATGAGAGGAAAGGCTCAAACAATGTTAGATGTCGCATATAATAAAAAATCTGACAAACTTGAGACACAAATGAGAGGGTCTATTCAAAAGAACAACCTGACAGGGTAAAACCTGTGCTTTGGTCTTTGCTCAAAGAAAACGGTAATGCCAATGTAATTTTTCTTTAGGCTTATTGAAGTTGAGTTCTCCAAAACTCCATTGTATTTAATTCTTGGACATATCTGGGTTCTAGGTTTTTAATTTAACATGTATTTCACTGAGTTAAAAAACTATTTTCATATAAATAAAAAACAAACATTGTGGCGTTTAATTCAGCTGTTTTAGACTCCAGTGAGCCTGATCACCAGGAGACTCCACAAGACTGCGATGGTGTGTGCTGGATGCTGCTGTTCTCTCTGTGTCCAGCTGTTGCTGCTCTGTCCTCTCTCCTCTCCTCTCTCCTGGTGTATCACCTCTGTAAGAAAGAAGGTAACTAATGTTTACTTTTTAAGATTAGCTTTTGATATCAGAAATATCTGTGATAATTATTTAATCATTCATTTCTTCCCTGAAGAACCTCAAACTGATAAGCAAACACCTCAAACAAGACAAAATCGGGTAGGTGTAACAGTAAGATATAAAGTTATCATGACAATAAATCTGAACATGATCATTATTCTAAACAACACATTTTACATTTAAGGATGAAGATGTGTGTTATGCCGCAGTGGAAATACGTCCGGCGTCACAGAGACCAAAGAAGAAGACAACCCACAGTTCTGTCACCTATTCTGCCATCAACACTTCTAGGATGTAAACACTTTAAACAAGAGGACAAACACATCAAATTGTATGTGCTATTTTGCCGGAATAGTTATAGCCAGTAGTAATACTAAACTATATTTCTTATTTCCTGACACCACTTATTTGATATAAAATTAAAATAAACCTTGAGACAAAAAACCTGTGTTTGCGTTGATTACAATTCAGCTTCAGATTCACTGTTAACATTGAATCTGAAGAAAACTAACTGTAACATTTCATAATGGCCAAGATGGCTGTTTGTGTGTGACAAGACATGATTGATGTATTCAGGCTATTTCCTGTTTTTATCTCAAGTTACCCATCAATCCCAACCCTACCCAGTAGAGTCTGATACAAATCAAAATATGTGTTATGTTGGGGCTCATTCTGCTACAGAGAATAACATGTATTTTTGTTTTTTAAGGATATTTCAAATAAATAAGGATGGACCTTTTACTAGAAGTTACAAGACAGCAATGACAGTCAAGCCAACCTCAGCCACATTGTGTAGGTAACACCTTGTAATAAGCTAGCCTCACAGGAAACTCACAGTGAAAAACATCCCCTCATGCGACTGCAGTGATAGTGTTAAGTGCAGTGTGAGTGAACTGAAGTTTAGATCAAAGATATTGCTTAAAAAGGAACAAGCACACACCAATGACAACAGGAAAGGTTCTGGTCTCATTCACTATGGGGAGAGCGTGGTGAGTTGGGCCACTTTCTGTCCTTGATGAGGGGCCTGCTCTATTAAGCATGTTACCATTCCAAGGCTACCTTTCCAAGGCAGAGGCCCTTTAAAGAAAGGTAGCTGCAGAAGTTAAGCATGACAGATGGATGCACAAATTCATTTCTAAGTTTCTTTCAAACTGAAATTGTTCAGACACAAGAATCATGACTCCCCAAACATAATTAAATCAATTGGAACTGTTTTTTTTAATGTATTTAAATGCATTTACCAATAATTCCACTGGGCTGTCTTCATCACAGCAAGTTTAGTAGATAACTTGAAAAAAATAAAAAATAAAGAAACAAGGAGTGGCTCAACTTCCCCACAGTCTCAAATCACCAAGCATCCCCCTACTTTTGTTGTTCTTGTTGTTGTTGTTTTTACATTGTTTCGATGTAATACCTGTATAACCTGGTTTATTCCGGTGCCACCGAGTTGGTCTACTTGGTAGCCTTGAACAATGTACATAGAGAAAGGGCTGGTGAATTGCTGATGGAGTAATCTGTTAGCCACACCGGTTGCATGTGAAACTTTTCTGACCTCTAGTGGAGATGTGAAGTAATGCAACAAAAAACTGCTGGATGAGGAAGACACCAAGCTGTCCTGAACAGCCTGAACAAGACACAACGTGCCATCTTGGTTTTAAACTGATTCACCTAAGCAGCTGGACCTTCACATCATAATAACAACAACACATTTCTTTAGAAGAGGTTTAAATATTTCAGATACAATTAAATCAATTAAATCAGCATTCATTTATATCCTATGTAACATTATCAAAAACATTACCTCCTATTGATATATTTTGTTTTTCAACTAAATATTATCACTTGAATAGCAGATCCATAATAGAGACCACAATAATAACATTAACAATTGAGAATACATTATATAATAATAATTATTTATGACTTCTGTTATTGGCATTAACCACAACACAGTGTATCCAAACTCATTCATGAAAAAAATGTATACTAATAAATATTTTCATTCTTTCCAAATTGGACTTTTTTGTTTGAATTTATTTCCACAACTCCAATAAAAAGTTACACTTGATCAGATGTGCAGATCAACCTCCATGTGTAATTGTATTTCCTGTTTGTTGTTATTAAATACATTTAAACTTCTAGCTCAATTCTTGACTGAAATGAATTGCTAACATTTCATAATGATGTTTTAAGATTATTGCTCTGCAACAAGACACAACTTTTATTTCCGAAAAATGTCCTGTTTTTATCTGAAATGGCTATCGACCCCCTCCCTTCACCAGTGGTCTGACACAATTCAAAGTAAGCTTTACAGGAAACCCACAGTGACAAACATCCCCTCACTCGCTCAGCATGCAGAGAGACTGAAGCTGCAGATAATGACCTGCTGAAGGTGTTGGTGGAATTGATCAGTGAACGCATCATAACTGTTGGATCAGATAACACGAGCTCTGGATGCACTGTGCAACAGGGCCATTGTTTGCAGACAGATGCAGAGTGGTTTCATACAAAGTCATATTCAAGATGATCATCTGCACTGTTGAGTCTGAATAACTTCTTGTGGCAGTTTGGGATAGAACATTATTTGTTAAAAATAATAAATGCTTCTTCTACTTATGTTTATATTTATCAATACTCTTGTATCTATAGAGAAGAGTTAGTGCAGCTCAGAGAGGTTATGTGGTTCATTACATCAGAAGGAGAGATCTGACCCATTTTAAACACATCTTCCCTGTTTCCTCCTTGTTGGACAATGTTTTTCATTTGCAAACATCTCCAAAAACTGCTTTTGGGATAGCAGCATATAGAATAATGTTTTTGTTTGTTTTTAGACCAGACAATTGAAACCACACACACATATAATAATCACTCACAATCTATACCCCAAGCGGGTTTTGAACCCTGTGTCAAACGTGTGGCTTTCACACTGGGCCACTTCCAGCGCAAAAAAATGTGTTCAGTTCAACGTGCCAATCACAACTGACATGTCCTTAAATAGAAAGTCTGGGCAGGTCAGTACATCCAGCAGTAAGACCTTTTAGGTTTTTCTTCATCAGGTCATCATCACAGATGGAAGGGCTTCGTATCTTTCTGGTCATTCTGCTAGGTAATACTTGGTAAACTCATTCAGTTTTAATATATTTTATTCATTATGTTATATTAAATTCATAGGTTCATTGTCAGTTCTATAATGAGCAGTAATCTGCATTTAGTGTAGTGGGATACATTGTGCTACTCTGTTATAATGCACACTCATCACATTTATATTTGATTTTGTGATTGCTTTCATTTTGCTGTAGTAGTATCATGCACTCATGACTGGACCTCTGGATCAGAGTTGGAGATGACAGTCAGACCAGGAGACAACATCACTCTCTACTGTGACTGCAATTCATCAACCGGAGTATACATCGTGTGGTACAGGAACTGCTCTCATGAGAACCAGCCTTCTCTTGTCCTTAATATAATTACAAGGAGAAAACACGTTATGGATAACAACTATTCTCAGAATCCTCTCCCTCGTTTCCACTTTGTGAGAAACTCTTCCTCTGAGTCTTATGACATGCTGATCATTAACATCACTGAGACCGATGAAGGGCTCTACTACTGTGGAACTTATCAGTTGAAGGTGGAGAAAAACGAACAAATTAATTTCGCACATATTTACACACATGGAAACATCTCAACAAGGATCCATGTCAGTGAGTATGCTGTTCTTACTAATCGATTTATCTTAATTGACAGTATTAAAAAAAAGCTTCATCTACTAAATTAAATCTTTCTATTGTGAGGCAAACAGAGAAAAATTCAAATGTAAATCTAGATATTTATTCATTCCAGATTCCAGCAAATTCCCTGACCCCGGTGGACACAGTTTGAACCCTGATGTGACCTGGATGATGGTGCTCACTCCAGCCTTTACTATTTTCACCTTCTTGATTTCTTTTATTCTGGTGTATCTCTTCTGTCAGAAAACAGGTACTGTTGTCACACAATTGTTTTCCCTACTATTGTTTAAAATAAATGATGTCAAATCTATTATTTATACATAAAGGAAAGCTCTAATAGTGAACTATGTTTTCATAGGTGGAGTCGGTGGAACTTTGTAATGTTGTTGTATTTTATTTTGCAGATAAGGAACCTCAAATTCTCCAGAAAAGACTTAACACCAGGATTCAAACAAGATGGGATCAGGTAATGAACACAAGACATTTGGGAAATGTACAAAGTCTACATTGATCTATCATAGCAACTTTTAGCCGTCATCTCCTCGTCAGCAGTGGTTTCATATTTCACAGTTAGACATCTTTATTTATAACAGCAAACTATATTTCTAAATAACAAATGTCAAATGATCTCTCAGGATGAAGATTTGTGTTTCACACGAGTTGTGTTCCGAGCGAAGGATGGAAGAAAACAACAATAGACGGAAAATGGACAACAATATCACAGTCACACTGTTTAGGCAGAAACAAACTAAAGTGCAAGGAGTTCAGATTCAGAAGGTTTACATTCATGTGCTCGGTTTAAGTATTCAATCCCTCCTGTTTTTCTCTCAGTTGTTGTGCCAATCTATTAGATCATGAATTGTTGACGTGTTTTATAAAGATTGGGTTTAGTGCCTCTTTACCTGTACTTACTGAAATCTTATTAATAAGCTGTGTTCAAACATAATGTTATCATCAACTAACAAACTGCTCATTTCCTTATGTATGAATGTGGTATCATTACATATATTTGAATCCTGATCAAAATGATCAATATAAGAAAAGATAATAAATACATTGAAAGGATAGCAGGATGAACATTTCAGTATTCCAGAAAAACAGTACAATTCTAAATATTTTAGATACATTTTGCATAGCCTACTTTTGATCCCAGTGAGTTGACTTAATTCAGGATATTTCTCTCTTTCTCATCGCTCTTTGACTGTTGGATGTGCCAACACGATATCTGCATATTTTCTCTTTAACGAAGTTGCTGTGTCTAAAAATGTAATGTAACATTTAACATTAATTTGTATCCAATGTGACATTATCAAAAACATTACCTCCTATAAATGTATTTTGTTTTTCTGCTAAATATTATCGATTGAATGACAGACCCTTTAGTAGACCATAATAATTAAGTTAATCATTCATAATAGAGGTTATTATTTAGGACTTCTGTTATTGGCATTAACCACAACATAGTGTGTCCAAATGCACTCATGAAAGAAATGTAATGTATTTCTTAATGTTTTCATTCTTTCCAAATTCGACTTTTTTGTTTCAGTTTGTTTTATTTCTTTCCACAACTCCAATAACAAGTTACACTTGATCAGATGTGCAGATCAACCTCCATGTGTAATTGTATTTCCTGTTTGTTGTTATTAAATACATTTAAACTTCGAGTTCACATTTTTGACTGAAATGAATTGCTAACATTTCATAATGATGTTTTAGAATTCTTGCTCTGCAACAAGACACGACTTTTATTTCCAGACAATTTCCTGTTTTTATCTGAAATGGCTATCGACCCCCTCCCTTCACCAGTGGTCTGTGGCAATTCAAAGTAAGCTTTACAGGAAACCCACAGTGACAAACATCCCCTCACTCGCTCAGCATGCAGAGAGACTGAAGCTGCAGATAATGACCTGCTGAAGGTGTTGGTGGAATTGATCAGTGAACGCATCATAACTGTTGGATCAGATAACACGAGCTCTGGATGCACTGTGCAACAGGGCCATTGTTTGCAGACAGATGCAGAGTGGTTTCATACAAAGTCATATTCAAGATGATCATCTGCACTGTTGAGTCTGAATAACTTCTTGTGGCATTTTTGGATAGAACATTATTTGTTAAACAAAATAAATGCTTCTTCTACTTATGTTTATATTTATCAATACTCTTTTATCTATAGAGAAGAGTTAGTGCAGCTCAGAGAGGTTATGTGGTTCATTACATCAGAAGGAGAGATCTGACCCATTTTAAACACATCTTCCCTGTTTCCTCCTTGTTGGACAATGTTTTTCATTTGCAAACATCTCCAAAAACTGCTTTTGGGATAGCAGCATATAGAATAATGGTAACACTTTATATTAAGGTACACAAATTAACCATCAACTAGTTGTTAATTAACATTCATATTAACAGTATATGCTCTTTATTAGTCTTTATAAAACACTTATTAATGCCTTATTCTACATGACCAAATTCTACAAGTAATAAGCCATTAGTTGAGAGTTTTTCCTCAATAACCCTCTAATTAGTGCTTATTTGTTGCAAGTAAGGAAGTTGTTGTACATGAGTTTTGGTCTTAATATGCGCTGCCCAATATGAGCCTAATAAGGCAGTAGTAGCACAAGAATAGTAATTCTCCCATAATAACAGTTAACAAATATGATCTATTCTTATGGAACAAGACATTAAACTATAAGTGTTAATTAAGTCTAAACAACTCAAAATTAGCTATTTATATCTAAGAACATGTTCCCTATTCTAAAGTGAAGTCTTGTTCATAACCAATAAGCTAGTAGTTTGACTGGACCTGAACAGGTTCCCTATTTTAAAGTTGCCTCCTCTTCACACTTTGTAAATACATTATAGCACGCAACTACTGAAATTAACCTCAACAGTACATGAACAAAGTAGGCTCACGTTGAAATATCTGTTTTATTAAACCACTAAATGAAGCTCAGCGCAAGTTCAACCAGGAAGACCTTCTTTACTCACTCATTCACTATTTCCATGTTACTACTCTCTCTCCTCTCAATAAGTGATCAGGGGCGTCTCTCCCCAGCTTAACCAATCACTTCGCTCTATTCTCACAAACCCAGGGTCGGCTCTAGAACAAATCGAATGGGGGGGCAATCATTTACAAAGGGGGGGGCACACACTGCCGTCAACAACCAACACACAAACACCAACGCAACTTCAAAAAACATGCTGTAAAGTCTATTGTCTTTCACACACATTGCAGGGTGTAGTGCTATTTTATAGCGCACCTATGACTTGTGCATACATGCACGGTTGTGGCACGACCACCAAAACAGAAACATATAAGGACATAGGCCACCATATAAAAAGGGTGCAAATGTATTTAGTATCCTATCCATGTGAACATGTTTTAGGTGGGTGTGGACCTAACCTTCTCTAGGAGGGTCCGGGGGCATGCTCCCCCGGGAAGATTATTTTAAAAATATTGAAGTTCAATGCATCAATCTGGTGCACTTTGAGAGCAACATGAAGAGATCTATGGATAGCCTACATCTCTCAGCATCCATATGAAACAGAACTGTAAACAGATTTACTTTTTCTTTATGGATATTTTACTAACCACTCCCCTTTTCAACTGTATTCTTGTGTTACTGTCCTATACAGTGGCGGCGCCAGAGATTTTCTCTAGGGGGTGCTGTGGGGTAGCTTGACGTTTCATAGAGGGTGCTCAAACATTTAGGGTTTCCCATTAATGCACCAGCGCTACAGTTGAATTTTCTACTGCAACACTCCCCACGCACACACACACACAGTGCACCCGCGACTGTTACAATGAAGGCTCGATAATCAGCTCACGGCATATAGGCAGGGGTAAAGTGCTATTTTTACAAGTGGGGAGTGGACCTCACCTCCTCTAGGAGGGTCCTCACCTCCTCTAGGGGGGTCCGGGGGCTAGCTCCCCCGGGAAGATTTGTTGTTACATATTTAAGTTAAAAGCATCAATCTGGTGCACTTTGAGAGCAACATTAAGAGATCTATGGATACATCTCTCAACACCCATACGAAACAGAACTGTCAACAGATTTTCTATTTCTTTATAGATATTTTACAAATCACTCCCCTTTTAAAACAAACCGTTTGAGACCCACTGAGATAACTAGACTAAAGTTAACTATCTAAACACTGAGAGAGTCCTTTACTTCACCTGAGTTGAGGTTACCGGAGACTCTCAGTCTGACAGGAGAGAGTTCTCCCTCCACCTTGTTGTTGAAAAAGCTCCTTATATCCATTAGCTTGGCTAGCTAGCACCAGATGCTAACCACAACGATCTCCGGTAGATACCCACTGGTGCGCGAGGCGAGCTCTCTCGCTCGCTCGCGCACGCACGCACACAAAATGGCTCGTGCCACACACACACACACACACACACACACACAGAGCAGGGCTTGAATGAAACACAGAGACCCAGAAGTAAGCTACTTGTACTCACGAGGCCTATTATGTGCAGAATCCCTCTCGCTTTCAGTTGGTTTTGATTGAGTGTTCACACGTGGTCGTTTAAGGACTAAAAAACGATCAATTTTTCACTTTGCTGTTAGCAAATCATTTGGCGCTCTAGCTAACAGGAAGTCAATCAAGTGTCACAAAGTAATTTAGCCTATGGGTAGGTCAAAAAATCGAATGGGTGCTGACCATTGGCCTAATCATATCACCTGTGTTGGCTTTATGTTTTTGGTCAAAAATGTGTTTGTTTCACATATGCATTGATGTAATCAATAATATTTCTAATTTAATTTAATAAAAATAATAATAATAATTTTCAAAAAAAAAAAAAAAAACACATATTTCTTGGGGGTGCTTAGGGGGTGCTTTGGCAATCCTGGGGGGTGCTTCAGCACCCCCTAGCTCCCCCCTGGCGCCGCCCCTGGTCCTATAGTATTTCATTCCCGTTTTTTATTTATTCTCTTATTCTTTAATGACTATAATGATCGTATAAAGGTATTCCTCGCAAATACTTGTTTACATAAATGGTGACCAAACCGTTTGAGACCCACTGAGATAACTTACACCAAAGTGAACTATCTAAACACTGAGAGGGTCCTTACCTCACTGAGCTGACGTTATAAGATCCTCTCAGTCTGACAGGAGAGGAATGTCCTCCACCTTGGTTTAGAAACAGCTCTTTATATCCGTTAGCATAGCTAGCTAACCAGATGCTAACATCAACATTCCACGTTACCGCTCGCGCACTCACAACATGCGCTCGTGCCACACACACACAGAGCCGAGCCTGAATGAAACACAGAGACCCAGAAGTAGGCTACTTGTACTGTAGCCTACTGTATATCATATTATTTTCGATGGCTTTACTGTATAATCACTAATCAGTGTAACAGATGAACAGATCGCCACCGGGCTTTCATCTAAACACACAGCCACGTAATAATAACAAAACAAAGGTCGGGGGTCATTGGTCAAGCAACACACCAATCAGAGAGCAGCAGTGAGCACAGCTCAGGCCGTGTTTTATATTTGTATTCTTTATTTCTGACGTATTTCACACAAAAAACCTTTAGTGGAAACGTTTTCACTTATATGATTTTTTTTTTTAAACGGCAAAGTGGCTAGGCTTGCCCACCCTGCGTTGGGGGGCACAGTGACTCATTTGGGGGGGCATGGCCCGCGAATGACCCCCCATGACGCCGACCCTGCACAAGCCTATCATAGCGCTCCGCTAAACCTTTTAAATCTGCTCTCCCCTCTGACAGCTCTCATTCCAGGTGAATCGGCGCAACCCTCCTCCACCCCCCTTCACCTCCCATCCATCTGAATCCAGGGTCAAGCTAAGCCACTCCTCTTCAGACCGACCCCAGCTATCCATTCACCACCACCAGTGTCTAGACCCCGGGGGATTTCATCGGATCGGTTCTCCCTTCCCGAATGATATTCCTGCACAACGGGGCCTAATCGCCAAAACTCCTTTACATTCATGTGTATTTCTGGCAATAAATATGTAGGCTACTCTTACATCAAAACTGTCTCTCCTGATTGAAAGAGAGGTTCAGACACATCTCAACACATGTCAAGTTTCTCCAAGGCTGAGAACACATGCAGCCTGTACTTTTGAATAAAAACAGATTTTTAACAGAGTTATGTATTTGTGATCATACTGTGTGACCTGCTTGTATGTTCTTACACTATAGGTGTAGCCTACTGTTCTCTATGTGTTGTACTCAGTGATGGGGTCGTTACTCAAAAAAAGTAATATATTACATATTACTCTTAAAAAAAAGTAATATATTACACTACTTCGTTACTCTGCATAAAGTAACTCGTTACTTTACTCGCAGGGCCGGCCCGCCCCTCCCTACAGGCAGATCACGCAGACAGCCCTCTTGCTCGCTCGCGGGAGTATCAGCCTCGCGGAGTCTGTCTACGCGCGCGTGAAAAGTTTCTGGCACTTTGGGGCGGAGCCACTGGACTTTGATTGACAGCTGCCAGGAAACCCGGAGTTGCCAGGTTTGATAAATGCCTGAACTACCAAGAGCCGAGGAGTGACGGCAGCAAAATCAGTTGGACGAGATTGAATGGTAAAGTTGTCCATAAAAAACTATTATATTCATAAAGTGTACAGCTAA